TGTATGATCTTTATTACTGTCCCCTTCATACAACCCTCTGTTTTCTCCAGTAGGTCTGGAGGACCAGGTTCTATAATCACCCCACAATACACGATCACTTCAAGCATCCCCTCACTATGGGCTGAGGCTAAATGGAATGAATTAACCAGTTTAATTGATCTGGCTTGTAACTCACATTGTAAGATTTTAAAGTGAATGGTCATGTTTCTCTGTGTGTAGCATAATTATGTCTCAGTAAAAGTCAGACATACAAAATCTACCTGTGAAATGGACTCTCCCAAATTTAGATCCCTTCTATTGTACTTGAATTAGGGGGTGGCAAGATGAGTTTTAGAATATCTATATTTCAAGAATATTCTCACATTAAGGCTGCCATTGAGTCATACACCCCACACAATGATAGGGTTAATAGCAGTCACTGTGCTTGAGGAGTGCAGAGACGGTCCCCTCCATATACTTCTGGGGATGGAAAATTGACATAAGCAGAGGTGAGAAGTAAGGAATTGCACCCTTTTGCCTATTCAATGGTGTCATTGATTCCTTCTCAAGTTTCAGACAGTAAAAACTGTGCTCTAAGCAGCTGGAGGTCTGTGACTATCTGACCTAAATATGTAAATATCTATATTTTCCCAAGAAGCAGAGATGAGTGAGCTGGTTGCTTGTTGGCTCTGATTTGTGTCAGCTGAGTCAAGTTTAGAATCAGGTGTACTGCATATTTTGGTGCCTATGCCCAACTTAATTTTAGTAGATGTGAGAAATATTAATCACCCTCTTTCCTTGCTGGCTTTGCACCTGAGATAAGAACTCTTTGCCACTGTCTTAATTTTTTCTCACAATATTGCTTGTGTTGAACCTATTTGCAGGCGCTGAATCCCATGGGGATTTAATCAATATTTTACTTCTAACTATTCACCTGTTCTGGAGATATATCCTTTATTTCCTGTATTTCTTGTAGGCTGGGAGTGGCTAGCACTAAAAGGAAATTCAGGGTAAGAAAAAACTCACAGGAGAAGCATGTGTAGCAAAAGAACTACAGGAGGCATCCAGATACTTAACTGAAAATTTTTCGCTAAAATCAGTCTATGCAGATTTCTTATCAGCATTTGTAAATGTCTAGCCAGAAGAAAGGATTTTATTTTTCATATGCTGATACTGTTGGGAAGCAGCTGATGAAAGCAGGATTCTCTTTCTCTCTCCCCTTTTTAAGCAAATAAATATCAAATAAAAAAGATTCCAGGAGAAAAGGGCAGCTCTTGTACTCACTTCCCCATCCCCTATTAGGAGAAAAGTAAAGATTCCAGACAAAAGAGGAAAGACCAGTTTTCAGTTATAAAGTGTTGCCATCCTAACTGACACTTTGGATCCCAGGCTTATGCTTTTGAAATTGACCTCCAAGAGGTCTCCCAGAGCACCTCCCTTCCAGCTGCCTAAGAATAAAGTCACATGAATGTCCATGGCACAACAGTGCTGCAAGAAATGTGGGCATCTGCCTTCACTGACTCTGGTGGGAAAAAGGGAATACTAGTCATGAGGAACATGGGAAGAAAACAAATATAGAAGATTTATCCTGTCACGTTGCATCTCTAGATGAAGAACTGATCAATGAGGTTTGCTTAATGTGTTGAATAAAGAGTGACTGATGAAAACATTAGCAGCTGTTCCTGGATACACGAGGGTAAAATCAGACTCTACAGTGTACCCTAGAGAATCAGTCCCAGTTTAAGATCACTGGAGTCTTCCTCTTATGATTTTCTTCTTTGTATGTTTTAAACCATTTACAATGAAGGTGGCATTGTATGATTCCTTTTGTCAGAGGTCAGATAGTTACACTGGTGACCAGTTTCTATACTACTCTAAAGCACATGACCAATATGAGTTAGACCAGCGGTTCTGAACCAGGAGTACATGTAACCCAGAGGATACATGAAGCCTCATCAGGGGGTACATGAGATATATTTCATACATTCTCTAACACAAGTCAAAGGGCCTAAAAAATTAATTTCCCATTAAAAGGGGGTACGTGAAGTCTCACTCTGAGACCAAGGGATACGTCAACTGAAAAAGGTTCAGAACCACTGAGTTAGACTGTTGTATCAAAAAAAAAAAAAAAAAAAAAA